GCCGGGTGGGAATGAGGCCTCGTCCCATACACGATGGAGCACTATGACGGGGGGGGGGGGGGGGGGGGGGGGGGGGGGGTTAGTGGATCCGAATCTAACGGGTATCAACGTCAAACAGTGAGAGCAAAATAAATCCACCTCAGATTCAAGGTTCCATTGTCACCATGGGTCACCTGCCTGTTTCGGCAAACCATCTGACATTATTACACTTATTTAGCACACATTTGCCCAAAGTGACATACGAGCATGGATCAGAGAGCAGGGCCGGCCAGCATCCCTGTAGTAATCTGGTTTAAGAGCCTTGTTCAACGGCCCACTTTTAACTTGAATGGCCATGGGATTTGAACCCATGGCCTTCTGGCCACAGATCTCTACCCTACTAAAGCTATACACCATGTAACTGCCTGTTTTCCAGTTAGATAACCAGCACAACCCCCTGAATGGAGTTCCATACTGGAGGCCCTTTGCTATGGCAATATATATATTCCAAGGTTAGTTTATTTTGGATTTCAGAAGGGATCAGTGCCTTACTGGGGGGTGTTCCCCCTAGCAGGATTTCTCAGTTAGCTGGGTTAATTTAAGCTAGAAGTCATGATTGTCCAACAGAAATGCTCCTTATCTACACTCCAGGTAGCTAATTTCAGCTGAATAAGGGCTTTAGCTACAGTGCCTCTCGCTATTCCGGAGGATATCACAATGGGACAGCAATGTCAATAACATTCAGGGATAAAATCAGAAGAATGTTCCAGAATCCATAAAGCCAAGCGTAACAGAGGTCGGGCAGAACAACAAAAAAGCCACTGACCAATGACAGTCCTGGAGCCAAGCAGCCAAGGATCACATGCAACGGGGCCACATTTACCCAGAATTCCTTGGGAAGGCGCAGCAGGATAAAGAGCAAGCATGATGTAGCGCTGCGGGGGGATTCAGGGTGGAGGAGGGTGTGCTGAAAGGCCATCTCAGGATCAAGATTGTGCTGGATCAACGTTAAGACAACAACCCGAGACAGCGAATTGGTGACAGATTCAAGCAGAACCAGCTGCCCTGGAAGAACCTGAAAGTGTCGAAGCGTAAGGTGTCCGTCGAGATGTGAGTGTCAGAGAAGCTGGGAGTACGGGGAACGGGCGAATCCCAGGATGAGGCCGTGAGCGTGACGCCGTGTTCTGTGTGCCGACGGCCAGCTCCGCCAATCATGTGCTGGGGGCGGGGTCAGATGGCCAACACGCATGTGAGTGTGTGAGAGATGTATGGCATAGACAAATTCATGCAGCTTAGCTCAGAAAGCACAGCTCCCCCCACAGGACAGGAGCGAACAGGACAAACGGAAGGGGAACTTACTCTGGGTCATCTGACACACTACTTCTTTGGCTGTATCTATGAAAACAGAAATAAAAACAAAACAAATAAAAGCTATGAACGAGCAGAAAAACAAACGTACGTTAAAAAAAAAAAAAATTACCCACAGCCTTGGTTTTTTACGCGAAAAGCAATACAAGAACCTTCTAGAGAAGCCGACATTGCCATCTCTCATTTTATGACACTTTCGCAGAGAAATCCCAGGGGAAGCAAGGCGATGTGGAGAGGAGCTGCGAAAGCCTCGCCAAGCCGGCCGTAACCGATTCTGCGCTTTGTGGTCTTAACAGGAGCCAAGTCAGAGAACCATAGTTACTGTCAGCCTATTACACGCAGACTACAGGCAGGGTGTAGCCGTCACACGTGCTGCAGAGGGAAAGGGATCGACATTAAACTGCGCTACCGGCACACAGACCCCACGTGACAGCAGAGACTGACATCAGAGAAGAGCTACTTGCACAGACAGCAACAGAAAACATAAAGGGATGTTCCTATGAATGATAAAGTGCAGGGTTATTGTGACACAGCAGGGCCATGCAGACAAAGATAAATGGAAACACAAACATGATAATCTACATATATATATATCCACATCTGTGTAAATACACACACACACATATATATACACACACACACACACACACACACACACACACACACACACACATTGAGCGGCCACTTTATTAGACACACCAACCCAGCACCAGGTACGATTCGCTTTTGTTTTCACAACAAGCTGAATTCCTTTGAGGCCTGGTTCGGAAAAGTGTCGGAAACAGGGATTTTGGTCCAAAACATCTCTCTGCACACCACTGTTGCACTGAGCTGCTCTTTTTGCACTTCCTGTCAGCTTTAGCAAGTCTGGCCACTATCCTCCGACTCTTGACACTCTACTGTGTGGAAGAACCCAGGAAGATGGCCGTTTGAGATGATGGATTCACCACGCTTGGCCCCAACATCCACACCATGCTCAAAATCACTCCGATCAGGTGTCCTGGCCACTCGAATGCTTGGCTGAAGCGTTTCACCCTGTCTGCGTGCTGTATACAACACTGAGGTTTAGCCATATGATTCACTGTTTGGAGGAGTGACCTGTTTGCGTTAACTAGCAGGTGTTGCTAATAAACTGGACTCTTGTATATACAGGTGTATATACAGACATGTATACAGACATGTATACAGACATACTCGAACGAAACCAAAACAAATCAAAATGAAAAATAAAAAGTCAGTTTTGTTTTACAGATACCATGCGGAGACCCATTCCTTCACACACGCACGTTTAGGGGTTGTTCAGGCAAAGGCGGCTTCAAATCTCCCACTTCAGCCCCCAAACAAGCATGCCGCTGACATACCTTCCCCCCCCCCACTTTCCCTTTTTGAGATGCAATGGGCCAGGTCGGGTGTGATGACATCATCCACGCACATCCATGCAGTACCACTGCTAAAAACAGGCAACGGTGCAAACGAAAGCAATTAAGACATAAATAAAAATACAAAATAAAAACGACTAGGCCCATGTGCAGATGAAGCACCAATAACAGAATGAAAGCAACATGTGGCTGGAGTGACGGCAGGCATGGATCATCATGAAGCGCCAGCTAGGTTTAAATGGAGGAGCTATTTTCCCATAAAGCACTTCAGCTGCTTAGGGCTTATAGCTCTGGGATTGTCTACGAGAGACTCTCTTCTCTAGTGGGGAAATGGGACAGTGAAATATTAACACCTATTAACAGCCTGCCGGGGGGGTGGTGAAAATGTGGTGAGAACTCAGTGGAGTTTACCACACCTTCTGCACCTGGTCTGTGGTTTTCAATGCAGTAATTCTCAAGAACCGTGTGCCCCCACATTCAGGGGGGTGTCGGAAAATTACTGGGAGGGCGTGCATGATCCGGGTTGAATGTGGAATGGAAATAAAGTTCAATGAATCTGCTTCATGTAGAAGCCAAAACAAATAAACGACAAAGTGAAACAAACGTACAATAAAAACAAAAACATACGACAAAAAACAAAACAAACATGGCGCTTTCATGTTAGCACAACTGTCAGAATTCAAACAAGACAACATAAATTAAGATATGAACAGATTTTTGATGGGTGAAAAGAAAAACGCTTATACTAACACACACTAACTTCTTCATGTTATTAGGACAAAATAAAATTAAACTGATTTTGAAATTTTCCTAATAATAATATTCAAATACTGTTAATGCGGGATGGGGGGAGCATGAGAGTTTTCCCCACTTCTAAAGGGGGGGGGGGTAGCCAAAAAAGTTTGTTAACCAACACCCAAATGAACAATGAATGGCAGATGTAGGGTGTACGCTTAGGGGAGGCTGGCTGGAGTCTCACACTGCGGACAGATCATCCGCTCCTGAAGACGTTCTCTGCCATGTTTTGCTGCCCCCGGCGTCGGTCGTTTCGGCTCTGCTGTGCCTGACGGACGGAACCGGCAGGAAGTGGGTGGGGCTGCAGGTGCGTTTCGGCGAGGTGGCGGAGCGTCTGGTCGACGTGTCGTCCCTCTCCAGATCCGCCGAAAGGGAGGCGGAATCAGACCCGTCGCCGCTGGCCATTCCGGGGGACTTCCTCAGCAAAGCTGGGCTGGTCCTCGGGGACGGGGTGAGGGGGCTCGTCACGACGATGGTGGCCATGGCAGTGGTGTCCGTCACCTGGAGCACAGACGGCTCGGCGGACCGCGAAAGGCCCACACTACTGCTGAGAGAACAGCCACCTGTTGTTAGCGGGACCAGCTTCCAACCCAGAACACACACAAAAAAAGGCAGCGGAGGATTCGCCCTTCAGAGGAAAACCAAAGAGAAAGTGAGAGTAGACACACAGGGAGACCCCCCCACTCACGTTCTGAGAGAAACACCGGTTTGAAAACAACAAAAAAAAATCAGAACAAATATGAGCATAACGCCGTGATGGATCTCAGTGATCAGAAAAGTACGACTGGCCATCAAATTTTCATTCATTCATTCATTCATTCTTTCATTTTCTTTATCCATTTGTCCTGTGCAGGGTGGGGATGGTGTGTGTGTGCCCTGTGATGGGGGGGGGGGTCCCCCGTCCTGGGTTAGCCCCTGCCTTGCACCCAGAGCTTCCGGGATAGGGGGGTGGGGGGGTGAATAGAAAAATCAGGCCAGCGGAAGAAAACAGTCTGGAAAGCATGAATGAAAGTGAGAGGGGGGCCTTGTGTCATCCTGAAAGTGTGCAACAGAAGTGTGATGGTTTAACATCAAGCTAGACAGGCCTCAGTTTCCTGTCATCCAGGGTAAGAAATTAGCTGCTGTGCAGTCCTCCGACCACCGGGGGCTCCAGACTGGCAGGAATCCTCGGATTTTTTGGCAAACTGTGAGGATCTCAATAAATCAGGATCTGTCAGACAGGAGGAACAAGTGGCTCAAATGACCAATTATGTGTGAGGGACCAGGAAGCTGTGGTCTTACTGGCAGCCCACACATGCACTCTGGTAAATCTGCCAGAAAACCACACAGCTGCTTCTGAGCCCCAGCTGGGAAACCACTGGCAGCACAGGATGGGCAGGACTCGGGCCAGACTGGGGGTGAATTTCAGCATAGGCAAGGCAGCCAGAGAGGAATATTGACCCCATCTGCTCACCATTGCTCTCTATATTTTATTGATTAAGCAGAAAATTTTATCCAAAGCAACTTACATTTTTTATTTTTTTTTTTTGAGAAAGGTCAAAGGGCTTCCTCAGTGGCCCAACCGTGACATCACTCCCTGGGATTTGAACCTGTGACCTTCTGAGAGATCACAGGCACACAGTCCTAACCCACTGAGCCATGCCATACCCAGGTGCTGCTCTTCCGTAACCATGACTCCTGCTTCGCGATGGTCATGTGATACTCTGTCCTCCCACGCATTCAGAAAAAAACAGCAACACGCTCTTGCTTACGGCTAAAAGACTCTTCATAAGCAGCCATAGCTGTGCCAGGTCTGCTCTGGATTAATAGGTAAAAAAAATAAAATCAAGTCGGACAATGTCTGGCGACACCAGACTGCCAGGCCATAATGCCAGCAGGCAGAGAAAGGCATTCCAGAGTGGAAGTCTTACGAAAAGGTCCACAGAAACAGTCTAATGTAGATGTCTGTGTGCTGGTCTGGGCCTGCGTTCCCACATCTCCTCCGCTCATGTACAGTAGGAGAAATTCACATGACATTTTAACTCCGGACAATAAAAGAAAACATCTGTTCTCTTTCAGCTCCTCCTCTGACACACGACAGTAAAAACGATCTCCCTGGCATGCATTCCCACTCTAAGGCGTACCGGGTGAAATTTAAAGGCTTTTAATGTTTTAACATGAATCATAAGAGGGACTTGGCCAAACACTCCCCACTCCTGAAATCCTTAGTTACAAATGAAAACAAGGGGAAAAAAACAACTCAAGCCTTCAGCTTTGACCGTCCGGGATTCTGTAACAACTTCCGACTGAAAATTCATTTACGAGAGTTTTCGGCCTTTCTTAAAGACCACTTTAAGGAGGTGAGGAGTGTGTTTTAGTGCCAAATTCCCTTTGCAATAAGAAAATAAACTTAATCGCTAAAATGTGTTCGCAAACTGGATTCAGTGCAGTAGTCCGAATAACAGTGCAGTCTTTAAAATCACTTTTTATCGTGGTGAAATAAGTTTAAATGTCTATAAAAATGAAGTTGCACAGCCTATAATTAACACAGGAAAAAAACAGAAATGAGGAATGAATGAGCTAATTTAATTTAAGGCACTAATTAATTCCTTAGCCTGGGAATCACATCTTTGGTTTGTAATATAACAAAGTCCAAAGGGCGCTTCACCACCCCACTGGTAAAATGTCGGTCAAATTAACCCCTTAACATCACCAGTTTGTCAGTTTGACCTTTGGCAAGTAAAACATGCTGTGAAAATCTTATGTCAGACATAATCTACGAGTGAATCAAGACCTGAGCCGTATAGGACCTCTTCCGTCATACCATGTGACTGATGAGGTATAGAGGTCATGACATCATCACCTGGGATCCCCATACAACAAGACTAGTCGGGTCAGTCCTGCTGGTCTCTCCCGACCACCATTGGGGATCTGACCACATCGCTACCGGTGTTATATTTCTGAAGCACGTAACAAGCAGAGCGCTGTCTGCTTTTGTAAACACAAACACGTCACCTTGGCACCACTGTCACGCAGGTCATGCAGGAAGTGCTGGTAAATCACAGACACGCAAAGGCGAGTTCTGATCCCTGGTACTGTGGGCCTGCTGTGTGACACTATGGAAGATGAATTCCTCTCAGCCAGGCATCACAAGCATTTACGCCCCGATGATCCGAAAACAGAAACACCCAGCACTCAAGCCGTGAGGCTCACATGCTCCAACAAATCAGCACCTGCTCCACATACATAACATACCTGCCTGACCACATCTGCTGTTTTTCAGGGCTCTGATTCATCATAACATAAATGGTCACATGGCCGTCATGCACAGGAAGTGTGGGTCGTATAACCTGGGCCGGTCCACTGGTACCTACCTGAAGGGCCTTTCCGCTGTGACGGGGGAGGTGGCGGTACTCCAGCTCCTCCGAAACTCCTCTGCCTTTGGCCGCCTGTGGGGGGCGCCGCTGAGCACATAGCCGCCCTGGTTGCTCTTGTTGGGCAGGTACTGGTTGAAGGGCATCACAGTGCGCAGCTCGGTGCAGGACAGCCGACGGGCCAGCATGTCATCCCTCCGCATGTCCGGCAGCTTCCTCTGGGGGGCGTCGCTCTCCGAGTCGCTGCCCCGGCCTGGTGCATGGAGGGGGGAGGAGGGGGGAGTTAGCCCTGACCCGGGGGACAGACATGGCCCAGGAGAACAGCATATACACACACACACACACACACACACACACAGACACACACACAGAATCCTCCGATGCGCAGCTACATGCGGTTACTGCTACAGTATGTGGGCCTCCGGAAAAATGACCTTTAACCTTCGACCCTTTGCTTACTGCCCTTCTCTGCTCCCCTGCCTTTTACCCCAGTAACGGACAGAGCTTAAGCTATGACTGAAGTGAAGTAACAGCAAAAGCATCACATCAAGTCACATTTACGTCTCAGGTTTATTCTACGAGTAGCGATAACACACAGAAGCCTCAGAGCTTAAACCCAAACAACGCGACTGCTGGGGAAAGTCTCCCTTACTATGGTTTTACCATGTGTATGTAATGGTTTTTTAATTTCATTATCCCTTGCGCCACATAATTTCATAATTCCCTCACTCTGCGTAAATTCCATGGCAAGGTGTTAAGCAGATGTTAGCACCAGGAGAAGAATTCATGTCTTGCTCACCAAGGATGTTCCACTGGGTCTCCCAGCATGTAATAGTGACTACAAACCCAGAACTGCGAACAGCATCTCCCCGGCATCATATACTAAAAAAAAAAAACTGGTAAAATATGTCACGGTTAATATTTGCACATCACGCCTTGAGCTGACTGAACGGCAATTCGGGATCCGTCCACAAGGTGGGGCACTGCATCCGAAAGCGAGTGTGTTGAGACTCTCTGGTTTGAGACCCACGATGAGATCGGCGTCCCACAGAGATGAAAGGGGGACATTGTAGCTCACCTGAAGAGCTCAGAAGACTGGAGTGTTTCTTTTTTGGACCTGGTCAGTCCACAACCTCCCCAGTCTGGTGATCAAATTACAGCGAAGCCCCGCCGATATGACAGACCCGGTTATCTCTCATAGTAATTATGGCTTGTTAAAGTAAATTCCATAGCTGACTAGGAGCAGCGACCACAGAAACAGGCATCTCGGAGGACGCCAAAGTCAGCGGCCTTATTTGGGGTAAACAGTAATAATGGGCCCTTCATTCACAGTGTAATTGGCTGAATTAAGAGTGCTGTGCATGCTGGGAAAAAGTGGTGACCTCCCATTGTGGGACCCTGGAACTGATCCACACATTACAGTCCTGGGTGGGGGGGGGGGGTCCCTCCCCCGATGACAGGACCAGATTCCCCTGATCTGGATTCTTGCAACACCAGCCATCAACTTGAAGCCAAAACGGCTTCAAACCGATGCCCTGCAGTCAGGTTATTACCACATTTGGTTTAAAGATGATTCCCTCTCTAGAGAGGAAAACGTGCCAGTATTAACGGGATTAAAACCCTCGGTGTCAGTGGGAAACACAGGAAACATGAAATGAAACATCTCACTCTTCGCATTCCTCAGGTCGGGCCTGCGTGCTTCGCTCACATGCGCCCTCTCTGCAGACATCTCTCCCCCTCGTGCCTTTCAGACGCCAGCGCTACAGTACTCTTATAAACTGCTCCCCTACGCTAAGAGCTTTCCATGGAAGCTGCCCGCTTCCTCGACAATTCCAATAAGCCACAGGACAAAAAAAAAAAAACACACCAACCAAACAGGAAGCCGGACTCTCGTTGTCTCTCGACCCAAACCGCTTACAGAAACGGTTTATGTCTCCTGTGGTGGGCTCCCAGACCTCAGTGTCCCCGTTCAGCGTAACACTCAGCCCTTTACTAATTATTCATTCAGCACCAATTGCTTAAAAAAGGTTATTTACGTAATTGCTTCATGTGCACAAGGGAAAGATCTCGAGTTCCCGGCAAAGTGGGATAAAAACCTGCTGGTTAACAGCAGCAGCCATGTTAGCTGGGATCTCCACGCCTCTCAGGCAGACCATTAAATCCATCCATCCATCTCCCATCTGCTTCTCCAATACAGCGTCATTGCTGTTCATTTTCCAGTATCCCCAGTAAACAGCCTGAGCAGGAATCCGAGGCCAGTCCAATTATTACAGGCAGCAGGCAGAGTCCAGCTGCGGCTCTGAGGGATGGCAGACAGAATGCTGGTCGTCTGAAGGGCGGCAGACAGCGACCGGGTCAGAAACGCAGTGCGGTCCGAGTCCAGCCCGGCACTCGGTGTTTTACACGGCCCTGCCGATGACATCACAGCGCCGTAAGTACAGCCCTTACAGAGATCCCCCATCTCCCAGCTTCCTGCCCCCGTCACCAGAATCAGGCGTCTGCTTTTCCTTTCACGTTAGCTGAAGCAGGACGCCACAATAAAAGTCACGACCGCCTCAGATCGCAGCCCCGCCGGCCCTAAAACTGCCAGTACGAGAGGGGCCACCTCACCCGCCCAGGCTAAACAAACCCCCCCCCCACTGCCTTCTGGAGCCTTGGAAGAGGGATAACGGGATGAGGTCTTGTTTTCCAGCTACCGAATTCACGTTCCCAGACAGGCCTCCTCACGTAACAGCACTCGTGTCAAGACCGTGAGACGCTCGTCATGTTTCGCCAGTTGGGGACCTGCTGACGGAGATACCTTGACTGCCTGAATGATGGAGACACACTTGCACACATCGCCGAGAGAGAGACAGACAGAAACGTTCAAGCCAAAACTAGCAATACTGCAGCAAGGCAAATTAATATGTCAAAATGTACAGGAAAAATTAAAGCAAAAATTCATGTCTTTGCAAGGGCTACGGATGTTTTGACAGTTTTGATCCACAGCCTTAGAGAAAAACGCACAAAAATACCCATAAAAGTCATACTGACACCCAGGTGTTAACAGCCATGAAAGTTACACTGCCTGAGGTATGAGAATGAGCAGTCAGACCAACTTAAGCTGCTGTGAGGTCCACAGATAACTATTACTACTACTAACATGTCCCCAGATTCCCACAATGCCCAGTGTACCCGATCACATGGGCTGACCTTTCATCCCTGATTTGGGAAACCACATTGGCTGATCTGGATATTTATTGTGGTAGATCTATACATGACAAAGGTGCCATACACCTCCCATCCCCTAGGAGGTGGTACCCACCATCACTGCTGCCGCGGAAGACCACGTCAGGGGAGGGCGTTTGCTGCGAGCGGGAGCCGAAGGAGTCCAGACTGTCGAAGGAGTCGTCGCGCCCGTGCCGCGGGGGTGAGAGCGAGTCACTGCGCTCCGAGTCACAGTAGTCGACGTAGCCGCTGTCGCGAACACTGCGATTGGAGCTCTCTGTGACCTCGGCCTCCTGGTGCAGAGAGAGAACATGGTCACGCCACATCCCTGGCCTGGGGAGCAGCAGCATGTCGACAACACTGACAATGGCACCTTGAAAACCTCTGGTGCGTACCGTTCATCTCATTCACCCTGATCGCCGAGCTATTAGGGCCTGAACCTTCAGAGACCGAAACAGGAGAATGCAGGGGTTTGCTGGCTTCTAATTTCCCTCTTGCTCGAGCAAGCGATTAACAACGGCATGTCCTCCCTCTCTCTGGACAGAGTATGTAAGTGTCCCCTCCTACAGAGAATGGTTTTGACCACTTGAGGAAGCTCCTGGTCCAGCCATTTGGCGCAGTGACCGACCCCAGAGGACAGAGTATAGGGAAGCATCTGATGATGAATCCGATGGTCCAGGAGAACAAACGGCAGCTTTCGACAGTCCTCTGCCATGAGAGGAATTCCTTGCAATGCAGGAACTCAAGGTTGAACCTCAACCTTGATATGGACAATACCCGCAAGCCAGCCTGAGGCACAACATCCCTGACTGGCCAACGCATATCCAGCCGTCCAACGTTCTTGTCGGACGTCTCGCAGGTCCTCATTTTTACTGTGCAAAGTGAGCCATAACAAAGAACATAAAAAAAACCTGATGCCTGGTGAGATACCCCCCCCCCCCTAGTGAGACACCCCCCCCCCTGCAAACCCCACAGTCAGATACAAACCCTGCTGTGTTGTACACACTTGCGGAAGACGTCAGAGCTGCCGGGAGAGAACTTGCTCTTAGCGCATTGCTAAGACCTGATGCTACCTGAGGTTAGGGGGGCGGTTCACTTGTTAGCTTGGGAGCCGGTAAATATTTGCCAACTTTTCCCTGAGCTTGATGCACTTCGTATGACCTACAAGGCTTGTGTGTCATGCAACGTTTAACCCACGAAAACAAGTGAAAAGCATATACACTCCACTGTAAGGGTCACTCCATGAAAGTGCTAAAGATAATTCCTATAGGAAAGGCACCTCCCCCTCAGACCTGCCATATTACAGTCTTATTTATACTCTTTTACAAAAGTGACATATATTTTGAGAAATGAGTAATAGTAGGTTAGGAGCCATGCTTAATAGCCCAATTGTGAAATGGCTCCTCCAACCTTGAGATTTTGAATCAGTGACCTTCTGATCATTGGCACAGCATCCCTGCATGCTTCCCATCATTGACCCAGAATTCCTGGCCTGGCCCAAAATGGCGCCCCCTGACGGACGGTACCTTTCTCATCTGAGAAAGCAGCCCTTCGAACTCCTTCAGGTCCAGCGTGGGCCCACTGTACGATGTGAAGCTGTTGGCAGCTCTCCCCAGCCAGTATATGGTGATTAGAACCTGGGATCCAAAGCAGAAGATCAGCATCCGCTGAGATGTAGGCCACCCAGCACCATTCTGTGCAGACATGGTCCTTCAGGCCACCCCAGCACACTCACAAGCATCTGCATGACCCAGCAGACCCAGCATATTTCCCAGAAAAATGAACCCTTCTGCAGACCAAACATGCAATGGAGATTAAAGGCACATCTCACCAAAAGTGCTGATAACATCACTCTGCTCTGTTTTAACATGTTTAGAGGGTTGACTCCCGGCATTACATTAGATAAGACACTTCCTAAGACCTCCTAAGTCTGACATTTAAAAGGCTGTCTGGATACATTACAAAATAGGGCCTGATCTCTGCTGTACTCGACAGCTTCAGGGGGATCTCTGCTGTACTCGACAGCTTCAGGGGGATCTCTGCTGTACTCGACAGCTTCAGGGGG